TTTAATGACTTTCTCAGCTCTACTGTATATTCCAGATCATTTTTAACTACTATGTTGCACCCAACCGGTGTTAAATGTCACATAACCGTTTAATTTGAGTCTTCATTGTGTATTCTTTCCATAATTTTACAAACATTTGTTTTTAAAACATGGTGTCTCATACATAACGCACCAATGGAGACACCAAGTAAATTCAGGTGAAGGTCTATGGTATGTAGCTGTCTGTAGCTTGCCATGAGAACACCGCACCATCATAATAACACCAAAGAATCCGAGAAGACAAGAAAAAGGTTAGAAAAACCAACAAATCGAAATCACTATCTTACCGCATCAGAAATATGGCTAAATGCACTGTGCGGCGAAGCCACGAGAGGGACAGATGGCAAGGGCAATGGATTAGTCGCTGAGTACTGGAAATTACTGTCAAAGTAATACCTAATGTTGATTTAGTCATTTTGGAAATCCCAATGAGACAAAAAAATTAAGAGCAGCACAAGTGTAAAATTGCAATTAACATAAGTGTAAAAAATCACCTGAGTGGAATGAGCTGATGCTTGCTGTGGATATGGAGAAACTGAAAACGGATTCATGAGTTGATAAGAAAGTGACATTGCCTTTGAACTGCACCTCAGCTACTACCAGTGGAAAGGTAAACCACCTCAATACACTATCTCTCACTACTCAAGACATAGAACTATGGGGTCTTCCAAACTGAAAACCACCCACATACGACCTTGATGTCGCTGACTGGCAAAAACTGACAACTTACTACCGATGAAAGAGGTATGAGTGATTATCACAAAGTAGCACTAAGATAGACATTCTCACAAAGTAATTAAAAGAGTATATGGAAAGAAACCCGCTGATCCTTACCACTGGTGTCGACCGCATGTAAAGGATTTGCATGCGGCTTGTAAAGCTGGTGTTGTTGCTGCACGTATAGTGGATTCTGTGAGTATGCTGTGGGTGCTGTCGAATGATAGCTGGCCATATAATTGGAGTATTGTTGACATGACTGAGAGTAGTATTGTGGTTCTGATACTGCCTGAGAGCCAGACAGATTAACTACCGCCTCTTGACAGTGTTGCTGATACTGCTGAGGCTGCTGCACTTCGTCATAAGGCGGATGAGCGTGGAATAACGGAGCCTGACAAAAAAGTTTTTGAAAAATTTAACAAATCATTATTGATAGATTCTACTACATCAACTGAAAGCAAAGATATAGCTTAAAAAAAGTGAAGGAAAAAGTAGAAAACTGTCCAAGGAAAATAAAACAGCTGCTGCTAATTTAGGTGGCCACCTCGTGCAAAAAACGAGGCGCGCATTGCGCATAGTCAAGCTCGTAAATTGCTATCAACACAATATAGTAACGGAGCAATTATGAAACCGAATTATAAAACTTACATGAGCCACTGTCTGAGACACCGAACCGACTTCGTCTGCTATCGTTGCTAAATTGTTCTGTGAGGTAAAGCTATACAATTGTGACTCACTAGCTGGAGATGGTGGTGTCTTTGGCGAAGCTGCACCGGAATACACAACAACTTCCGTCTGAAAATGCTGTCATTAAATGAAGCAAAAACCCTCTTTAGTTGACCACTTCGACTCTCTTACACCTTAAAATCAGACTGTTTCAACTAGCAAAAAAATAAATGGCGAAAATTGGAAGTACATTTGTGAATGAAATTATGAAATTACAACAGCCCCAAACTATACTGTTATTAAACCAAATCTAAATATCTAGTTAAGATAAATTTAAGAAAAACAATTACAAACGATTATGGCTGTAAAAGACTTCCGACAAAACGACTGTAAACGCTTTGATACGAATATACATAAAGCTTAGTTCACAGCGGAATCACGCCAAAAGAACTTTATAATTGAGCCAATTTTGCAGTAATAAAGCGCACACTATGTATACCATGCTGAAAGGAGCACCTTACTTCTCTAAAAAGAATATAGAGGTTATTCAGAAATTTTTAAAAAATCCGCACTATCTGCTAATCGAATTAGAGCCATACCAGTTCGGGAATATTCACGGGCTCCGTTGCTGTACGAACAGGTGCCGATTCGGGAGTTACACTCACAGGTGCTGCTGCCGTAGCAGCATGTTCAGTCAAATCTATGGTGTTGACAGCAGACGATGATACAGCTGCCGTGGCCAAAGATGTTGTAGAAGATGATGTTATTGGTGGCGACGTGACCAGTTCTGATGACTCCTATAACCACTACACGACATGGTGTATTCGTAGATGTATAATTTTCGTCATGCGAACCAAGCAATCCTACCTCTGGTGAGGAGGGAATCGCTGGTGCAATCTGCACACGCGAACTTCCGATACGGCCAACGGACGCGACCAAGGTTAATGATTTCGGTTCTGGAGCTCTAAAACAGTGTAAGTGCTATGAATGACTTTTCGGCACGCAATTTTAGCAAAGTTACACATTGCCTCCAACTTTAATTCAGACTTTGAGAAAACTGTGATAGAAAATAGGGAACAATTTTTGGTGGCTTCCAAGCAGAACTGTAACGTGATATACATAAGCAAAAAAAGGATGAAAACGAGTTAGAACAATAATGCGCTGCTTTCCTGATCTGTCCATACGAGGTTGCCATTTAATTATTCATTTATAGTAGCTGACGTTTCGATGGATTTCACCTTCTCGAGAACCTGGAAACTCAAGTTCATCCCAGCCCGGTCAGCAAAATACCTCCGTCACCTAAAATATTACAGTTCCTAGATTTCAATCGCACTAGGAACTAAACAGCTTCTTCACATATTTACCGCTTTCTATGAGTCACTGAGCACTACACGTGAGGACCAACCGTAGAAAGTTCACATGGGTGGGTAATATGCTATTCTCACGTTAAAATACCAGTCTAAGATTTTGCATAAGATCACGTGTGATAACGAGCCACTCTTCCCTGTGGTGCATCTTTCTATTCTTTAAAATTATTCAAAATTCCTCGATTGTTTTACACGTTCAAGCTTTAGATTACTGCTAGAGGATGGTAACTTCCACTTCAAAACCTTATTCGTTGCATCTCTGTGCCATTTGAGCACCTACTGGAATATTTGGTTCAACTTTTGTTTTACCGAGGAGGTGTTCTCTTATAAGGACGCAGTATGCGGATAGAGTGGACTACCCGTCTCGCCAATGTATTTTTCCCCACCGGCTTTAGATCAGATAAATCGTACCCAAACTCATGCAATCCCCATCTTCACCGTCAGGACATATTTAGGTAGTTCGTATTGCGCATAGACAGTCATATATGCCGTTATGAACCAGCTAGCACCTTAGAGTGTGCGATGTCACTTTAATCATTGCTACCGACTTCTCTGGATTGGCCCCTTTTTAGCAACGTCCTACTATTCTCATATTACACCACCCACTTTCACATCCTATGTACAGATCCCAGAACATCATCCATTCCATTGGTTTCCCTGCACCAGTGCCGTTCTCGTAACGATCGGAATCACTACCACTGCGTTACTCGCTCTCTGCAACATTTTATAGCCGTTCTTACTTCGTTAGAAATGAAGGACGCAAAAAGCGAGACCTTAGTCTCGCTAGATCTATTGTTTGGGATCATGATTTTTCCTCTCAACCTATCCCAAGCAGCTACCGTATTGGAAATGGTTACTTGCCGCGCTAATTTCAGGGGTCCTTCCTTCTGCTCTCTTCCTGCGCACACGCTCATCTATATACTCGTAGTAAAGTAATGGCTGGAGATCGAGCTCTGGATCTTCTACCTTAGGGGCAATGGCAACTCTTGGTCCTAGCCGCTTTCCCATTACCTTGCTTCTCATTTGTGCAAAATACTTCCGGGACCACCTAAGAATTTAGTAGTTTGTGTACTCTTTCAAAAGAGCAACAAGGTTCTGAATTGATAAGGCATACACATTTACTGTTTGTGTTGTGGGCGCGTGTGGCGCAGTGGTTGGAGGCACCACTGCGACACACACGTGGATCAAACCCCGTGCCCATGGCCCACCAAGCCTTCTATCCCTCCGGCGTAGGCAAATTGGTACCAGACTTGTTTGGGAGGATAGCAGCACTGGTTCGATACATCGGTAGGCCACCGCAAGTCATTGTAAAGGCCAGATATGCATTCAGTCACCTCCAACGATACTTAATGAAGTGGAATCCATGGCGCATCCCTCAAGGATTGATCAACGCCGAGAGCTTTTTCTTATCTTTTGTGTTGTATGAGGAGTTCGAGGATAGCATGCATAGCAGCATCGTTCGGCATGTTTGTACAAAGGGCGGCAACGTCGAAAGACTCACTCCATCACGTAACTACTGTTTGGACACCACTACGTAGATGATTGAGGAACATTTGAGCTTGGTGCGAGAAACAGCTATTTCCTGTGCCTACGAAACCGTAACCCCTTGGGATAGATTTAGATGAATTCTCAGGCTCCCAAACGATAGGTTTACGAAGAATTAGGTCCCGTTTATCTTGCCCTTCATTTATAACGAAATAGACACAGCTATAAAACCTTGCTTGAAAAAAGCCGATCTAAAGAAATTGGTAACAGTGATGGAAATACCACCGAACTCTCTGACACCAGCTAGTTCACAATCGCCTGTATGACCGTTTACGGGCAGCGCAAATTTGTATAATATGCCGCAATAGTGGAAGAGATGATTACATGAATTCGAGGACGGTCTTGATCCTTTGCAAAGTAAATGGGGATAAATAATTGGCGAAAGGTGTAGAACACTCTGTATCCGTATAAAAGAACACTTAGTCTGTAAAACTGAAATTAAACAGAACACTTCACTAGGCCAGCATAAAACAAAGAGACACAACGAAGACTTTGAAGGAGAAGTTATCATCCTCCAAAAGAAATCTAAAACGTTAAAGAGTAGAACCCTCGAGGTATTTTGCATAATTTCCAACAAACTAAAAATACACCGCTAGGAAGAACGTCTTACTACCACGCGTGATCTAATATTTTACTTGAGAATGGTGTTCTATCGTGAAGGTCCCATTACCCATCCATATGGTAGGTCTCCACGAATCTCCAAAACTCATAAAAAAGCATGAGCATGAAAAAACTTGTTTCGTTTCTAACGCGATTGAAATTTAGGTATCGCGAGTATTTTGTTGAGGTTTTGGAGGTATTTGGCGGACTGGACCGCAGTCAACTTGACCTTTTCGGACCTTGAGGAAAACGAAGCTCGACGAGGCGACAGTTACCATAAATAAACAATAAAACAACCTCGCTTGTCCTCATCAAGAAAACAGTGAATTATTTATCGAAGCCAAGGTTAACTGAAAATTTGTCTATATTTTAGGTCTATGCGAAATATTTTAAGCATAAAAGACATCGTATTTGACTTGACAAATGTTAAATATTACGCCGTAAAGATGACAACTGCCCACTACCATTATACTTGGCTTTACAATTACAAAAAAATAGTATTTTAACCATTGAATTTGAACGTTAAATTCTAGGTTAACTTGATTATACAAGGATTACAAAAGTCGAATACTTAATTTCAGGACAATCCAAGTGTACATAACACGAAATATTAAAGTAAGTAGTAATTCAAACAAATGGATACTAAATATCACCATAGCGTTCTAAAACGAAATGCTCACTCACGACATTGTTGATGGTGGAATTTCAGGCAATGTGTCACGAATCAACTGTGGTAGAACATTTCCCATTCTGCTGACTGTCATTTGATGTAGTCCGGGAATAGATGAAAATAATCCAGTACTTGCCATGACCAATAACATGTTCTTCAGTGACTCTGGTATTGCCTGAAGAAAAACGTCAAGTGATTCTAGTTACAAAAACCAGAATAATTTGGAAAACGGTACCTCGTTAAGATTTCCACAGCTATCTACTCGTAAATAGTTGTCCATAAAATCCAGTAATCGAAGCCAAAGACTTGGAAATGAGGCCAGTGTGGAAAGTGCACTGAAAAACTTCTGTCGTGAACAAATATCAACCATTCAATCATTGTATATATTTACGAAGAAAGCGACATATAATACACAGCACGAGGCAAACATCACCTGTATCACTTGTCATCTGTCGTCCCGTTGATCATCGAGTGACTCGAGTGGGAGCCAATAAATCTTTCATTTGTCAATGTTGCGTGCAAGATTAGCCTAGTAGTTTCCACTCGCTCTAAGGACTCGTTTAGCATCACATTTTCATTCTAAAATTTTCGTGAAGAACTCTGAATATTGAGTCGGTGGTCTACCTGGAGTACGTTTGACTTGCCAAAGAATCCAATTACTAACGGCTCTTGTCCATGGGTTGTCGTTCATAAGCATTACGGATCCGGCCCATCATCGACAGTTTGGCGTAAGTAACGGTGTCTCCGATTTTTGGTCGTTAACGCAGATTAGAGCTCCGGATCCCTTCCTCATTTGATTGATATGGGAGATTCCTAGCACCGTCCTTTCGACTATGCATTCAATAACGTTGAATAACCTTTAATCTTGCTTACGCAGCGACTATGTTTCCGACACATACGTTAGGGCAGGAGTAGTGGTGGAGTCGAAAAGGTGGGCATGGAGTCGGGTGTTCTTTGTTCTCTCCACAACATCCTCGACGATCTTGAAAGCTCCTCAAGCAGCTCGTTTCCTCTTGCTCAAGTCTGGAGCTAGGTCGTTCATTACATTGATATTCCCACCTAGATAGACGTAACTGAAGCACTCGGAGATAATAATTCCGTTAAGCGTGAATGGTGGATACGAAACCAATCCGTTCCTCATGAACATCGTTTTTGTGAGATTTTTTTCGAAGACTAGTCCTTTACAGGCTTTGTCAAAGTCGGCAAGCTTTCGCTACATTCATCTAAGGTGTGGTGTCATAAGAATCGTCTGAAAAGCAAAGACAGTGTAATTGCCGACCTTCGATTTTTATCGAAACCCTGCTTGCGCAAATGGTCGTCCTTCGTCCAGTGTTCTGACAATGCTCTTTAAGATGACTCAAGTAAAAAGCTTGTAGACGACAGACAGCAAGTAGATTGAGCGATAGTTGCCAATACCGTGGATATCACCTTTCTTGAACAACAGCAGTGTTGCTGATCATCCGATGAATGGGAACCTTGCATTCAAACAGGAAAGGGGCGAAGAATCGAGCTAAAGTGTTACTGATAACAGGCAGAAGGATTTTCAGGTACTCAAATCTTCTCCTATCCGGATCTGACGTTGTTCGATTCTTCACCGACGAAGTAGAACGTCGAATTTCGCAAGGAGGAAACAGTAGGACGACACATCTATTCTCTTTTTTTGGTGTGAGGCGAGGAGCACGCGACTGATCCTAGTAGTAGCTGTGAATGATTTTCTCAAATGCCCTTCTGAAAGCTGCAACTCTTCCGTCTAAGCGTCAGATTGCAATCATCTTAGTTTTGCAATTAGTGAAGCTCCTGTGGGCTTGGCGAATGGTCCTTCCAGCCTCTGCAGCTTCCACCATAATTGTTGTTCCTCTCTCTAAAGATCTTCTTTCCTCGCCTGTCTGCATTGTTTTGCAAGTTCGGACGTTAGTTCGCGGCTGCCTGCAGCTCGTGCGATTCCACGTTGGCGTGTCAGCTCGAGTGTTTCTATAGGCAGACGTCTCTTGGTGACTTTCGAACTCTGAGCTTTCATAGCACTAACGTGAAGATGTTGAATGAGTCGATCGTATTCCTCGTCGATGTTATCGACAACGGCATCTTCCCAACAGCCGACTAATGAATTGAATAAGTCCCAGTTTACGGTGGTTATGGGACCTCGGTTTTTGAATTTAGCGACTTTTTCTCTTTTCCGCAAGAAACACAATCTTGCACAAAGGAGACGGTGATCTGATCCCGTGCAGAATTTTGCGACAACAGTGACATTGGTTAGGCAAAACATTCTATTTACTGCCACGACCGACTTTCTATTAACCTCGGCATTGATCAAGTAATTTTCTTCGTGTTTTTGTTGAGCAAATGCGAGGTGTTATTATTCTTTGTTCACGATTAAGCTGACGTTTCGGCGGATGTATATAGTATAATGGACATTATACTTCCATGTGATTTCTGTGCGGTTGGTCTCTACGTGACATGCTTAGTGGAAACCTCATAGGAAGCGGCTCTGAGGAAGGCGAAATCCGCCGAAACGTCAGCTTAATTGTGAACAAAGAATAATAACACCTCGCGTTTGCTCAACAAAAGTACGAAAAGAATTCTATTTACTATGATGTGGTCTATTTCGTTATGGTACTCTCCATTGGGAGACTCCCACATCCAGCGCTAAGAGTGGGGCTTCTGGAATTGCGAGTCGATTGTCTTGGTCGCCATGATAAATTCAGATAGCCGTTCACCCTGTTCGTTTCATTCTAATTCAAGGGTCCCAATGTGACGTTCTTCAGAAGCTCTTCTTGGTCCAATCTTGACGTTGAAATCTCCATTGATGACCTTGAAGGATGTATGGTCTTCTCTGGAGAACTTATCCAAGTCTATATAGAACGTTTCGACTTCTTCTTCGTCATGGTTTGACGTCGGCGCGTAAAAGACTGAGATGGTCAAAGTCGGTATTGATCCACATCTCTTTAATCGTAACTGTCGGATTCGGGTTGTTGGTTGTACGAATGAATAGATGTTAAAGGAACAAATTTGTGTTGACGACAATGTCGGCATCGCCAGCTCCTCTCCTATCGCATGTTCCGAGGAGCAGTTCTTCTCCATTGTCAAAGACAGTGTTGACTCGATGGCGTCTTCAATTCTTAGCCAGCCCAATGACTTCGGACCTTATCTTTCTTGTCTGCACGATAAGGTCCTCCATCAAGGAGTTATGTAAATGAGCGTGCATTGTAGGTACAAATCATCGCCTCGGTCCTTTGAGATTTAGGCAGCCTAAAATAGCTTTGAGGTCTTAGCAGCCCCTCTGTACTCGTACTGTAACGTCCCTTACCCTCGGTAACGTGGGCGCTGGGTAGAACTTCGGGTAGTCACTCCTAGAGCGGACATGGAGCTTAGTTGTTGGAGCCGACTTCTATGCCCTCCCATATATTTCCCTCTCAAATGATTGCAGGCTTTTGGTCAAATCGACTCGTAAAATACAATCCGTATAAGAGAGAACGCACCCACACACGCATGCACGAATAGGTCTCATAAATACAGAAAGTATGTGCCAAATCGGCGTAGCAGAAACAGCGAGTCCATCCCCTGGATTCAGCCGTGTGTCACGGAAGTAAAAGTCGCTTTTGATTCGCGATCAACCACCTATCTGTAACATAGGGATGCATCGCGCTGCCTCGCGACTAATCGGCATGAAATCCCTCTGTGAAGGAGATCCGTGGGATATAACCACGACATTGAAAAATCCATTGTAAAAACAGCGATGTGGAGAGATACACTACACTGTTTACGTATGAACCGAGGAAAAAGAAACTTCCTATTTATAAATTAACTCCTAGCTTACGTTAGATGGTTGAGTAATGTCTTTGCAACTATCTGCATTGCTCGCACTCGAGTGTCTTCCATTCCAATTGGATCCATGGCCGAAAATACATCTAGTAGTTTACCCAGCAACGGAAAGAGCACCTTAACATATCGAACACCGTGAAAGAAGAAGGTAACAAATATATTACTATAAAACACTATTTGGTTGTTTGCATTAAAAACATTCAACGATAGGCAAATTAAAAGCTTACATCACCAAAGCAAGACTCCCATTCAGCCGCTCCCAAATTTGCCATATTCGATGGAAGGAAAGCTCGCTGAAATACACGACATCCTTTCTCTTCAATGGTTTCGGACGCTCTAATTAGATATAGAACCACTTTTCCAGAATTTAAATGAGATATTTAGTCTTCTATTGAACTGCTTTGTACAATCTACGAATTACCTGTAAATGAGTCAGTGCAGCTGCCCTCACCAGTCGCCTACAATCGCATCCTAACCTGGCTATCGCTTGCAGAAGTGGTCGCCATATTGTACGCCATACAAACGGTACAGACGCATCCACCTAATCACAGGAGAATAGACGGAATGATAAGAAGCAATTTCAAATGTCATACATTAGATTGTGTCTTCGCCCACTGAGCAAGTATGCCTGGAGCTAAGTTGTGAAGTGTTGAACAAAGATCGAGCAATTGCAGGGAAACCTTAAACTTGGCCAACTTGACATAAACATAGAAAGCGAACCTATTAATAAAAGTAACCACCTGCTGGTAACTTGCAGTGAGTTGCTGCTCTTCCTGTCTCATTTCACTAAGATCACCACCTACATCGGTGGAGAGCTCTTTCTGGAAAATGTTAAACATTACTATTTACCGAAGTAACATCTATACACCGATCTACTGGTGATAGGATCACGATAGATTTCGGAAAGCGAAGACAAATTTCAGTGACAATGAGCTGATTTCACAAAGCATCAAAAGCTAGAGATATTGAAGCGATCGTGGCTTTGAATCTCGACAGAATAATCTGTGTAGAACAGCATTCCGTTCTACGCATTTCTTTTTCTACTTAATGTTTTCGTTAAGAATGAAAACTTTTGCGCCGACCTTCCCTGGTTTTGAAGTTTTTGTTTTCTTCACACGATCTTCGACATGGCTTCTTAGTCGATTTTGTGCATCACCACTAATAGGTCCAGCCGCATACCTTAACACACTCTATGCAAATGTCAATTTTAAATTATGACAAGTTTAACAAATTTTATGAAACCGCAGTATTGTGACAACCTCTTAAATTCACACAAATCACTCTAAAATCGAAGCTTAGTCGATGATTGAGATGACATGTAGAGGCTAGATTTCGATATGCACCGAAATTATTAACGTATTTTGCACAAAAAAACGTGCCTCTATTGTTCTTAAATATCATCCCGTTAATAGTAATAGTTCGACGTGTTCTCTGCTTGCTTATGGAGGTGTTTGGTTGGCTAGATTGCGATCAACTTGACCTTTCGAGGCTCTAAGTATGGCGAAATCCGCCCAAACGTCAGCTTTTCCGCCAATAAAAAATAAAGTAACATCCGTGTTTGCTCAATAAGAGTATGAAAGAAGTCCGACATGAGTTTTATGGAAAAATGTCATTTTGTCCACTTTTTTTTTTACCAAAGTTCGTATGTCAAATGGGAAAACAGTTGAACAAGCGGAATTTTATCCAGCAGAATATAATTATGTCCCCGAATGCGCCGATGTTTGCCGCTGCAGGGTTTGCATTAGGGATTTATAAAAAAATTAATTACGTTTCCCTACCAATGACGAAAAAAAACATTGTGGATCACTTATGCTTAGACACAAGAAAGACTAAATCGGTGTTACTGCAGGTATTAAGAACGAAAAAGCTAATAGATAATAGATATGAAAGAAAACGACCAATTAATGATCGGGCTTAACAGAGCGAGCTAGAAAGGTTAAAAGATGATTAGTCTGACGACTATAGTCCAAACAGCGAATAATTGCTTGCCAATGTTGTTTTGAACCACTAGGTTCCACAAACTTTCTTGAAGATAATGGATAGGCACACTTCTTGTGTTCGCTTGCCTCAGTTTTGCTAAGCTAGGTTACTCATATGCTCACCTTCCACCATCAAGGCTGGCCTCTACCATCGTTCGTAAACACTGTACACAAGACTCGAAGTTATCTGGTGTCACATGAATAGCATCTCGCAAAAGAAACGATAACGTATCGCACACCTACAAAGATGTTTTTAACCTTTCATGCTACCACCTAATACTGGGTGTTGGCGCTAATATACGACAGTTCTCTTTCCAGGTTGTTCTTATGTTGCCAAAACATTTCCTGCGATATCTTCTGCATTTCAGTGATTACCCGAAAGTTTCCTATTCTAAATAATTCTAACCCATGAAAAAGCGATTTTTACACGAGTCAATGATTTATAGCGAGCGCAGTTTAAACTAAACGCCGTTTCATGAGAAATTTTAAATAACCAATAGTAAGGCGAATGTATTAAGGGTAATGGGAAGTGAACTTCTACCTTAAGAAATGCTGCTGGCTCATGCCTTCCAAGATTCGTTCGTAAAACCAAAAAACTGCGCGTAAAACCACATGAATAGGCTACATTTCCACCCAGTGACCTTAGTGCATCTTCAGTAGCTCGATGGGCATCTCGATGATCCAAATGTATCCATTCACGACTTTGATTTAACGACGCTGTACTGTCCGCATCAAAATCTGCTGCTGTCGCATTTGTAGATAGAGCTAGAAATGTTGTAACAAAAATAATAACATCAGGGTTGACTCACACTTATTAAAAAAATACCAGCGCACAAAAAACAAGAGGTAAGAAACGTGAACAAACGCTAGTAGTATAAAAACCAGTTGCAAAACACACATGCTGCTCTCTTTGGGTCATCAGAAGTGTACCCTCTATCATCAGATTGAGAATGCGGCGACATGACTTCTCCATCAGAAAAGGCCTGCCGGTCACTGGTTGCAGCACACTCGGACTGCAATAAGCAGATAAAAATTGTAACAAAAAGTAGTGCAAGTACAAGCAATTCTTGGATAATTTAGGTGTAAAAATTGATGGAAAACAAAGTGATGAAAGCTATAAATACAGTTAAGAACCAGGAAAATGGACGCTTTTTGAGAACTTTTATGCTGGCAAGGGTTACGGCGCCACAACTCAAGAAACGAGAAAAATTACATTCATTCTCAGAAATATACTTCAATGACCCATCTTCACGACGAATGATACCGCCATAGGAAAACTTCCATTTAATAAGTGATCTGTTGCCAGAAAAGATTTCCCTTTAGTAAAGTGCTAAGGCTTTCGCAAGTCTTTCTACGACTATACGGATTCGCCGGCTTTTTTTTTGGATCGGAGGGTCTGCTACCTTGCCAGTAGGTATTGCAGGGTAGCTATACTGAACAACTTGTGAAACGCTGTGATAAGTATTAGACCACCCACTTCAAAAATAATCCACAACTTAAGGTTACCAGAAATAAAAATGTGTAACAAAGTTGTAGGATAATTTAATTAACTTACCATTTGGGATGTGACCTAGGATTTCCAAATACCATAAGAAAACCCTCAACCCACGTTAGCTAAGTCATCCGGCAGTGCCGCTGCACCGGCCGCTTCAAGCAATGCAAATAGTAATGCCCAGTGTTCTTTTCTGTGTACATTGGCCGCATTTGTACGCAGCAATTCGTGTAGTCCAAAGGAAATTTGACGGGAGAAAACGTACATGGCTTTAGGTGACAGACGCTAAAAAGGAATTAGAAAGAAAGAAATAAGAAAATAACATTCTTTCTCTATAAAAACAATGATTGCTGCACTATAATGCAGTAAAAGCACAAACCAATAGCAAAGACAGTGACTGAAGCACATCATCTGCGATTGTATTGTCTCGAAACAAGTTCCGATTAGCAATTCGCAACAAGCCAACTACGGTTCGTTCAACAAGCACCTTAGAAAATATAACGATACAAACAAGAAATGACCAGTGAATGGAACTACCGCATTTGAATAATAACCATAGTACTCACCGGACTCCTCCCAAACCGTGATGATAACAACCACTGTAAGTGACGCCGAATAACTGGCCAAACTAATGAAAGACGATCCTGGAATATACTGTTTCCAAACTGCCAACTCCTACTCAAAACCGTTTACACTTAACTATCCTAAACTTTTGGTTTTTATCTTCTAAATTTCCTACAGTTTCATCTCTTTCAAGACAAACAATGAATTTCAATTGATCCACTGCGATATGTATCAATTGCAAGGCGTATAAAACATAAAGGTAAGGGATATAAACGAATGGACTGTTGGACGTTGGTCAATTTCAAAGTCATGCGACATCCATTCGACTTTATCAAGGTCAGTGCTCCCATACAAGTTTGTCACCAAATTGCCGACCCCGGAGTGATAGAAAGCTCGATGTACCTTGGGGCAGGGACCGGACCACGGACTGATCCAGTGTGAAGAACAGAACACCTCCAACAATTGTGCTAAATACTCCACTTCAACTTCAGTATAAATTATGCAAAATAATCGCCTTCAAATTTGAATCAACATATCTCAGTTCATGAGCAACATTTCTTTTGAAGAATGAAAGACAGGAATCAAATGTCTATGGCAGAAAAGATGTGGACCAATATCTACCTAGCAGCTTTCACATTATGCGTTGTCTACGCCACAAAATCAAATCCAGAGATCGAAGCTTGTTATGATTCTGGAGAAAAGAGCATGCCTTCTTCTGGGCCATCACTGGCGACCTCCAAGCTAAGATTGAACAATGAGAACAATTTCACATGTACCCATAGATTAGAACGTAATGAACAGGATGAGCAGCAGTCTGCTTATCATGATCACCAAGAGAATTCATGACAACTTACAATTGCACAAGTCCACTCTTAACGCTGAATGTGGGAGTCATAAAATAGAGACTGTCAAAATGAAATAAATCACATCATGGCCTTAGTAAATCGAGGGTTCTGTTTAACCGATGTCGCCGCTATCCCAAAATTCTCCACAGGACCTTTTCTCTTCTTGACGTCGCCTTCTTCAGGCACTACTCCTCTATTCATTTCTCGCGGAAAGGAGAGAAAGCCGTTAGGTTCAAAAAACGGAATTCCAGAGCCACCATAACCTGGGACTGATTAAAATCATTAGACAGCTCTTCGAAAGATACCGTTATTGATAACAGTGATAAGGAATACTGCTTATTCAACATCTCTAAATTAGCGCTATGAAAGGTGAGAGTTCAGGAGTCATTAAGTTATGCCTTTCTCCGAAGCACTCGAATTAATACCTCCAACGAAGAAATTGCACGGTCCATAAATAATGGTCAACTCATGAAAGCACCTACAAAGTTTGCATGCGAATAAAGAAGTTCTTAAGGAAACAATCGCAGTATTAACGATTTGACACTTGACACTTGAATGGTCCATCCTCACTGGTTGTGCACACCTCAGCGTAACCTCCATTTTTCGGAGATTTGCTGGTTAAGCCATTGTGGTTCCCTGGAATCCCGAGGTCAGTCTGGCCAAAGTTTGCCCCAGGTCTTCACCAACACAGGCAGTCACAGCCCTTGTGGATCAGAGGGAGATTTTCCATCATGCGACTTTGATACCAGGACGGTGGTGGATCCTGGTATTTGTTTACTCTTAACTAGGTTTCCTGATGAAAACGCCGGACGCCTTCTCAGCTTGGAAGACCCTGCCAGGAGAAGAATCCCCCACTGCACATCGTAGTCCGACACCCAGGAACACCTCCCAGCCACGATGAGGCGGTAAACCGTTGGAAGGTATTAACGACTGGAACAGCAAAAGTCGAAAAGATCAATCGCAGCCTCCGCCGGAACTTCACCATTTACCAGATCACAATGGTAGGATTCCGACACCCAGAAGTAATAGCCACGCTCAAAGAAGCGCAATGGAAAGAGTCACCACTGAGTAAAACTCCAACATCGTCAGCTAACCCCCAATCTGTCTACTGTCTGCCATCTCTTCACTCGAATTATCCTTAACGAGACTAATGAAACATTACATCGAAAGACAGATGGGATAGAGGATGTAACGAAGCGGTCAATAAACACTTGACGCCACCCAACCTTTCGACTCCACCGTTCCTTCTGCATTAATATAGTAACCGGGACGATCTGTAACCAGGAGGTCACTGCTACCAAACATGTTAATCAAAAGACGATTACATCGTATTTGGAGAAGTAAAAACAAGGTCGCTTTAGCCTAGCAAGGTCAGTTGGTAAGACATAAATTATCAATACCGACATTCCCTGGAACTCGGTCTTTAAAACTTTAGGAGTATTCCCTATTACTAAGTGAGTAAGAGAATGTAGACCTTTGATGTCGACAATCAAAGAACTGAGACCCTGCCAAAATATAGGTAGGGCGTTCGTGAAGCGTTTTAGCGAGACCTGATAAACAAAAAAGGTTAGCGACTGGCTCTTATGGAGTGTCAAGCAGACAGCAAGAAAACCATCAACTCAACCCAATGGTCTGACTTCTTAATGAAAGCCGTAGAAGAAAAATAAAACTCTTTTCGATGTCTTAGGTGAAACAGGATAACGCGACCACGATAGATGGATGTAGAATTTACTCGCGTCGATTCAGGTAACCCGAAGATAAACGATTTGAGATGTGATGCGTTGAAACTACTACACCAGAATTGAAAACGACGCTATTTTTTGCGGAACCCTATACAATACGAATGAAACAGAGATGAAATGAATAGAACACCAAGGGAAAAAAAAACAGAGTATCACACACGGGATATAACAGCGGTAAAAGTGGAGAAAAAAAGATTATTCGAACAGTCACCTTATTTTCAAGACAAATCGTAACAATAAGTTCAAGATAGAAAACTAGTGCATCCTCCTTCGCTCCACTAACGATACCTCCCTGAAATAAACAACTCAAAGGTAGCAGTGCTTACTGTCGCAAAAGCCAAATAGGTTCTTAAAAACTCAAAAGATCGGTTTTCTATAAATCTAGGCAAAAATTCGATATATTCACTTATGTTCTCATGAACTAATCTAACTGAGCCGATGCGAGCTTAGTGTAAGGTGTTCTCGTCGTTGTTGTCGTTGCAGTTCGACGACAGACGCTTTGGTGATTTCGCCTTCCTAGAGCGGTGATGTTACGAGTGGAACTGTCCCTTATACCTTAATTACTTTATACCGACCTCGCATCGGCTCAGCAAGATCAGTTCATAAGAACTAAATAAGTTTCTTAATAAGTTTCAAGATATCCACTCTTCGTGCACTTTTCTCATTGTTGGAGAACATCGGAACGGATATCTACGATACTATGAATTGTAATAATAAAGTGGAATTCCTATTCCTTTTTGTCGATAAATGTCCCGAAATAGGACTTAAAATTCTCAGTAACTGAAACATATACAGGACTGAAATTAAAGGGAAATTCCTCTCCTTCGCTACTAAGAATATGAATGGACGCCTGAGTACGCCCTTTACATACCGATTTCTGTGAATCCACTTGCTCAACAACTGTTTGGGTGGCATGAATCAAAGCGTTGAGAAGTTCTGATAGCGCGGTACTCGTCAGGTACTTACTATCAGTAAATAACTGAGCAGGTCGACATTCACATATTACCATTTGCGCATGCTACAACAACCAAAGCTAAAGCTAGTAATATACAATATTAAACAAACAAATAGAATACTACGACTGAAATACTAAAATTGATTGGTTTGGTCTCTCAATCCCAATATTTAGCAAAAGAATAAAATACTGAAGTAGAAACAGCAAAGTTAAATACAACCATAATAATTATGGGGTATTTGCAAAACTCTGGACCGCAGATGTCTGCTGTGGAGAACGAACGCGCTATAATCCTTTTCGGATGCTAACGCGTCCTGCGTCACACCATGCGGGTCCTTCGTTTCGCGTGTCTCAGAAATTATGTTTTTGTTCTCAAATTTCTAAAGAAAAAAGTGGAGAATACCTACTTTAATGGAATTTTGCTGGTCTTGTGTGAGTTTTTTCCGTTCACTTTCACTAACACCGCCTCCAAGACCGAACCAAGACAGTAAGCCAGATTCGCTTCGCACTGGCTGAGGTTCTCTAAAACCGGTTATCCTTGACAGAAAGACGGAATACTTCATATTTTACCAAAACTTTCCCTTACTTTGTACTAAACTTACACTATATGATCACGTATCAATGATACCCAGCCTTTTTCATCAACAAAGTCATCCACTTCGGTTAGCTCAGTGGGTAACAGCCTAGCGCGGAAGAGCTGAAGCAAACAGTCAAGCATGTTGCGCCAACCCTGAAAATAATTCGAAAACAGCTATATTACCCTGAAATGTGTGTGTATTAACTATCTTTACCTAACTACTTTACTAAACTTTACCGGAATCTCTATCTATTCAGAAAGCTGTGAAGGAGTATCTACCTCTCTGAGAATATCTCCGTTGGCATGTACAAGTTGGAACATTGTTTTCGTAGCCATTTGCGCTTTACGGTTTTCACCAAACGCTAAAGCGATTCGTTCATGCTGAACACCAGGGATCACTTCATTTATGCTACGCTGCCGCTGCATTTCTAGATTCTCATCTTCGTGACCTGTAACACAACCGATTTCCAAATATCCTCGTCATTAAAATTGTTGGAAATGTCATCTTAAGTCACGCTTTGTTACGAAATACGGAATTAAACCGAGAAAAATATTGTCGCTTTTGAAAAATGATATTACAAATACCTTCGTGACTGCACATCAATGTGCTGAACTTGCACAGATGAATGATGAGGTTGTCAAACACATCCTTCATACCATAGTATGCAGCAATCGAGGCACATTTTCGGAAACCGTTCAGTGCTTTCTGGGATATTGATAGGTCAAATGATAAAAAAGATAAAGTTCACAGCGTTGCTCTATCCCTCAGGTATGCGCCATGCATTGGACTTCATTAAGCATCATTGGAGGTGACTGGATGCATGCTTGGCCTTTATAATGATTTGCTGTGGATTACTGATGGATCGAGTCAGTGCTGCAATCCTCCCAGATAGGTCTCATAGCAGTTTTGCCGACCTCGGAGGGATAGATGGCTTGGTGGGCCTGGTGCGCATGGATCGATCCCATGTGTATTGCAGGGCGCCTTCGACCACTGCGCTACACGCGCCCTTTTTATTCATGGATCACCGCGATCTAAAGTCCATGAAAAACTATAGAAAAAGCATAGTTAGCATAATGTACCTGTAAAATAACGTCATGTTCCGACTTATCGAAAACATAGGTTAATGTCGCCACGGCTGGACCCCATGTAATTGAAAACAAATCGTGATCATTCCATCCGGTTGGTGCGTGTTTGAATTGACCCTCTGGTGACTCGCCTCGTCGCAGTAACACCTAGAATTCAATAATACCTTAAAAGATAAACCTGCTCTTATTTCCATTACTAACAGCACATCAGTAATTTCAGTACCTTCCACAGATAGTTTTCCTTAACAAGCCCCGTTTGTTCAGCTGGCATCACAATTTCTTCAGACTTAATCGCGTCATACATACTTGTTAACATATTCGGATCAAAGTCCGCACCACCATTAGTTCCTGATAAATTCCTTTTAAAGCAGTCCACTGTCATTGGCGGTTGATTCTTACGAACCTAAAAGCTACGCAAGACGATAATACTAAGAAACCACTTCACCTTTTATCCAAGACGGATAATGATTTTGAGTATGGCATACCTGTGGATTATGTTGATCAGTGTTCAACATTATAATCGCATACGAGAGAGTAAAGGCAGCATCAACGTGATTGAACGGCTCATTATTTGCCTTGTACCACTGCTCTAAATTAACAAAAGCTAAAGTGACGACATTGTGATTTATACCACAGCTTCAACTTGACTGGGTTCAATCCCGATTTGTGTTTACCAGATCAATCCCATTGATGGATGATTGGTGGTACCACCTACAGGTCAATAATACGGCTGAGAGAAAGGCGAAACGAAGGATTCGCATGGTGTGGTGGTGAACGCGTTAGTCCCCGGAAATAGCAATAGCGTGTTCGGTCCTTACCGCATACACCAGCGGTCCGAAGTTTTGTAAATAATTCAGTATCACTTTGATTATATTCCATATAATACCAGCCATTAAAAAGCTAAATGTTATATATACATATAATATATTATATATATATATATATATATATGTTTGCCAGGGCAGTGGTTCAGGTTCATTAAAAAATAAATCCCACCAGGTGAAATTAATACGACGTAGAGTCATGCCGAAATATAACGGCCATACAACTAACTTACAATCTGATTGTTTTAAAAAAGGGTAAAACGTTATCGTTTAAAAAAACGCATGTATAAAAGAGTTGCTTCCAAAAAGAAGTGTCCAATAATGACTGTGTCTACATTAAATTTTAAATCTAAACAAATACATTTCATAACTAACTTTTCGGAAGAAATATACATCCTGAATATCTACACATCTCCGGGAAAAAGCGAAATTTCTCGCTCAAAGCTACTGAAAGCTGCGACGGAAATCTGATCTTCTGGAGCGAACAAAACGTTTGATTTTTTCCTTCTTGTCAAGCCTCGTGTTGCTAACCTAAAATTAGTTAGCGAGCCATATTTCGCTCAGAAGAACATAATGACACTCGCAAATGCATGGTTGATGTTTACCGAATTGGCGCTTTTAATTCTAAGAAAATTTACTTTAATCAGAAGGATGCCGGGATATGAGCAAAATTCGGAACCAATGGTGAGTTTCGAATGAGCAAATAGCCTTTTCAGGGCACACGTGCTATCCACTATAGCAACCCAGACCCTTGCCGTGCTTTTCTCTCAGCCACCTATAACTGAGTTCAGTGCCAATTTGTGCTCAAACGACCATTCCTGTTGTCGGGAAATAACACCCTTTAGAGTAAAAAAATGGCCAAAAGAAAGGCATAGCAAGGACCTAAGTTGGCGTAGTGAGTAGCACATGAGCTCCCGGAAAGGGTTATCGCGGATTGGAAGCTCACCTGAGATACTCTGTTTTGCTTACATCTTAGCATTCTATGGTTGTATTTGACATTATACCTCCACCTGTCATCTGTACCACCTGTAGACCCGTTCATCATCGAGTGACTCGAGCGGGCATCAGTAAATTATCCATTTTTCGCTGTCGAGTGGAAGAGTAGACCAGTGGGTTCTCCTCGCTCTAGGGACACGTTGAGTATCATATCTTTCTTCAAGGCTTTTCGTGAAGAACTCTGATCATCGGGTCGGTGGTCTTCCTGCAGTACGCATAGCCCATCTTATCTTCAACTGTTTGGCGTACAGAACGGCATCTTTGATTTCTGATTGTTGACGCTGGTCGGAGCTTCGAATCCCATCTCTTAGTTATGTGAAAAAGGATACTCCCAGCATCGCCCTTTCAACTGCGTGTTTGATAACGCTGAATGATCCTTCATCCTGATTATGCAGCGACCAAGTTTCTGATGCATACGTTAGGGTAGAAGGTACTGTTGAGTCGAAAAGGTGGACACGGAGTCGAGTGTTTTTTGTTCTCTTCACTACATCCTCGATGCTCTTGAAAGCTCCCCAAGCCGCTCGCTTCCTTCTGCTCAGCTTTGGAGCTAAGTCATTCATCACATTGATTTCCCGACCAAGATGGATATAAATGGAGCATTCGGAGATATTCGTTCCGTTAAGCGTGAATGGAGCATGCTAAACCAATCCGTTCTTCATGAACTTCCTTTATGTGAGATTTAGTCGAAGAAAAAACTTTGCACATGCCTTATCAAAGTCGGCAAGCATATGTTCCGCTTGGCCAATGTTTGGTGTTATAAGGACGATGTCATCAGCAAAGCTAGATGATATAACTGCCGACCATCGATTTTCACTTCCATATTATTCCATTCAAACGTTGGCATGATGTTCTGGTGGATGGCAGTAAATAATTTTGGCGAGATGGTATCGCCTTGCCTAACTCCTCTTTTGACGACAATGCTAATATCGTTATAGAATGGTGATACCTTGGTTGTAAAATTTTTGTACAGCTCACGAAGATTCTTTATGTAATGAGCAGAGAGTCCTTGACTATGAAGGGCTTCCAAGACTGCTTCTATCAACTGAATCAAAGGCTTTCAGTAAATCGATGAAAATGGGACAGAGCGATCTTTTGTACTCTCGCGATACTTCAATGAGTCTTGTTACCGTGTGAATGTGGTCCACCGTACTGAATCCTCTCCGAAACCCTGCTTGTTCACATGGCTGTCGTTCGTTTAGTGTTCTGTCAATCCTGTTTAGGACGACTCGAGTGAAAAGTTTGTAGACGACAGAGAGTAAGCAGATTGGGCGATAGTTGCCGATATCGCGTAGGTCACCCTTCTTGAACAATAACACTGTCTTGCTGGTCTTCCACTGAGTAGGGCCCTTGTATTCAGACAGGTAACGTGCGAAGAGACGAGTAAGTGTGTTTATGAAAATTGGCGGAAGGTTATCCGCGTGTTCTGATCTTATCCTCTCCGGACTTGACACCGTTCGATTTTTCGCCGACGAAACAGCTTGTCGGAATTCGGGAGGGAGAACCGGTGGTACAACATATCCATCCTCCTTTCTTTCACATAACGGAAGGTGGACGTGGCTACCCAAGAGATCTGAGTAGTATTCGTAAACGATTTTCTCCATTGCCTTTTTGGGCACTAAAACTGTTCCTTGTGGGCACCGCAGTGCAATCAACTTGGTCTTGTAATTGGCGAAGCTTCGGTGGACTATGCGAATGCTTTTCCCGGTCTCTGCTACTTCGACCATTACTCCTGCTCTTATCTCTTTAAGATCTTCTGTTATCGGAAGTCTGCACTGTTTTCCAAATTCGGACATTAGATCGCGGTTGCTTGCAGCTCGTGCGATTCCAAACTGGCGTATGAGCTGGAGTGTTTCTGGAGACAGACGTCTCTTGGTGACTTTCGAACTCTCAGATTTCACAACGCTAGCGTGAGGATGTTGAATGAGCCGATCGTATTCTTCGTCGATGTTCTCGATAACGGCATCTTCCCAACAGCCGACTAATGAATTGAGTAAGTCCCAGTTTTTGGTCGTTCTGGGACTTCGGTTTTTTAATTTAGCGGCTTTTTCTCTTTTCGGCGAGAAATAGAATCTTGCACGAAAAAAGACAGTGATCTTATCCCGCATAGAATTTTGCGGCAACAGCGACATCGGTTAGGCAAAACGTTCTATTCACTATGATGTGGTCTATTTCGTTATGGTACTCTCCATTGGGAGACTCCCACATCCAGCGCTAAGGGTGGGCTACTGGAATTGCGAATCGATTGTCTTGGTCGCCATGATAAACTCAGATAGCCGCTCACCGCGTTCGTTCCATTCTAATCCGTGGGTCTCAATAAGACGTTCTTCCGACGTTCTTCTTGGTCCAATCTTGGCGTTGAGATCTCCATTGATGACCATGAAGAATGTGTGGTCTTCTCTGTAGACCTTCCCCAAGCCCATATAGAACGCTTCGACATCCTCTTCGTCATAGTTTCATGTCGGCGCGTAAACGACGAAGATTGTCAAAGCCAGAACTGATCCACGTCTTCTTAATCGTAAACGTCCGATTGGAGTTGTAAGTTGTTCGTATGTTCGTAGACAAAATCGTGTTGACGAGAACGCCGATGCCGCCGGCTCCTCTGCTGTCGCATGTTCCGGCGAACAGTGTTTCTCCGGTGTCATAGACGGCGTTGAAAGGCTAGCGTCTACTCGTCTCGGCCAGGCCGATGATGTCGTACCTTATCTTCCTTGCTTGCATGAGAAAGTCTTATATCGAGAACCCGGATTCAAGTGTACGTGCATTGTAGGTACAGATCGTCACCAAAGTTCTTTGTAATCCAGACAGCTTCCGTTGGTCCTAAGATTTTAGCAGCCTCTCCGCACCCATTTTACCCAACGCTGGGAAATGGGGGCTCTTTCGGTGCTAGAGGAATAAGACCCGTTTTAATGTTTAATTACCCAAGTTTGAAGCCATAAAAGGCAGAACCTCCGCTATTGTATCCTAATAAATTCTATAACAACAACCTCATGTCTGCTTATTGAAGAAAAACATCGAATTTTTTTTTACTGTGTTCAGCATATTTGATACCCACGTATAGCTTGCTGGGCTCTGAACGCAGGGGTTGGGTATACTCACGGGTAGCTTGCCAGGCTCCTCCAGAATGGACATGGAGCTTATTTGTTGGAGACGACTCCTAACCGCCTCCATATACTTCCCTGTTACTTGATTGCAGGCTTTTGGCCGAATCAACTCGTAGAATACAAACCCCATAAAAAAGAACGCACCCAAACAGGCATGCATGAATACACCTAGCAAATACAGTATGTGCCAAATCGGCGCAGTAGAAACAGGGATTCCGTCCCCTTGATCCACCTGCATCTCAGGGAAGGAAACGTCGCTTTTGGTCCGCGATTAACCCCCTATCCGCCACCTGGGACGCGCCACGTTGCCTCGCGACTAACCGGCTCGAGATCCCCCATATGAGGGGATCCGTAGCTCACTATACCTTACCTTGAAAAAAAGGATAGGCAGGAAAAAATCGAAATCAATTTTGATTTATTTCGAATTTTTTGAAAACTATCAATCTTTTGTAAAAGCCTGTCAGGCAATGAAGTCATCAGATGTTCTTGAAAAAAGATATCTGCAACTGTCAAAAAACCAGCACTATCGAAAAGGTGTTAAACTAGTCGGCACTTCCTAAATTTTAGTACGACTCATCGCATGTTAAGACAGCCCGACGGAGGATTTACCATATTGCACATTCACCGACATGAGCGCAGGTTGAATGTGGTGGTCCCTGGAATCCAAAAATTGTCCATTCGTCGGCGTTCACCACAACCAGTTATACTGCTACTATCTTCTAGAACAGCTCCGAATCCTACGATTAGTAGATCGACCACTTGAGTACCATGTATAGCAAGCCGTATGACCACTCATCGTTAACACCAATAATTCCAGAATACGAGAGGAACAGCAATCGTATTACTCCAGAGTGCTTCCTCCGCAAACTCACCCATTGCATTCTTCACTAGATCCATACCTCTTCTGCTTACCGTGTATGACTTACAGAAAAAAACTCACCGGAGAAATGCTGCATGACCATGCTGATCTCAGCTGCTTCACCTGGTAGTCGAAATGTTTCCAGAAACATGCGAAGTGCATCATCTAAGCGAGTATTCTCGAATGGAAACGAGCTTACGAACGCTTCCAATACCTAAACGCAAGAAAATAACTATTTACAACGACTAATATATGATTAAAACAAACATTAGCATTCTTTCGGCTGCAAATATAGTCAGCAATCTTCTTCTTGTCCAACTGTGGATTCGTTCGCAGCCAGTAAACCACACTAGCCGAATCAGCACCTAGCAATCCTTTTTCACGCAAGAACTCAATGCCTAAAATCGAGATTTGTCTTGAAAATACTAGTCTTTGTGATAGTTTTTTAATACTTTCAAAAGAAAGCATACAGCAATGATAATTTTTCTTGGGAAAACATAGCATCAACCTTTTTTAGGGCTTTGGTTGAACAGTTCAGTGCCTTCTGCAAGTATTCTCTTTCTCTTTTTCTGCTCAATAACCTGAAAAGTATCAGTTTACTCTCGTACAGCATATAAAAACAAGAATGAAAGAAAACCACGCACAATTTTTAACACCTGGAACAAATAAACATTTTTTCCCCAAAATAAATTCCAAATATGAAAATATTTCATCAACCTGTTCCATTGAAGGAAGGTTGCGTGATGGAGTATGACGATTTGCACTCGGCATTACACCCTTTGCTATTGTTTTAAGAACATCTAAAATATAGTTTTGATGGGACACAGATAAGATGGAGACCTTCATTTAATAACCTTCGTGTTTCTCACAGCATATCCATGTCCTTGGAAACAGTGCAAACAGCATAAAAATGAGGGAACAATTTAACACTTATGCAACGACGCGACTTATACATGAGTTATACGTGTGAGCGAATTGTGGGTGGAGTGACTTCTACAGATGTCACACTCTTTTTCACGGTTTGCTTTAGCACATAAAACCCTTTGTTTGTTAAGCCTCTCGTAACTAATCGGTGGCTACCCAACACAATAGCAGCCGTTTCCATGGAAAGCTAATCTCTATAACTAATGCTTACATGCTGGCTCGTGGCAACATAGAATAAGTAAAAGCATATGTACCACATATACCTCTATACACAGGAGTGTAGCGCATTAGTCAAAGGCACCCTGCAGTACATATGGATTCGGTCCCGTGTCCCAACCTCACCAAGGCTTCCATCCATATGGGGTCGTGAAATTTGTACCAGATTTTTATGGGAGGATAGCAACACTGGCTCAATATATCGGTGGGCCACCGCGAGACATTGTGTAGGCCCATTTGCATGCAGTCGCTTCTAACGACGATTAATAAAGTCGAATGCGCGACGCATACCTCACGGATTGATCAACTTTTTACAACTACATTCCTAGAGCAATAGAGCATAGTTTGCTCTCCAGTTCTGTGATGTCGTCAACCTCTCAAGTCCTTCATTTATGGAATGGATAACGTCAATTATTCAAAGATCAGCAAGTCCGTCACGGTGTGGTCCCATGCGGTATCCGTGTAAAACTAGATGTCGCCGCGTTAGTGTTAATGATCAGTCACTGACCTAATCAACATTAAACATACGTGATAAGAGTACTCTGGTTACTTGATCTTTACACTAATTCAACCATGCAAAATTGGAAAACTTTTATCTACCTCTTTCTATTGAGCTGATATTCATATCATGCTCATTGGCAAGAATCCTTTGACCGATCTCGAAACCACTTAATATTGGATGCGGCAACGCTGCTGCCGCTTTTGAGCTAGAAAATCCGTATGATTACAACTGTTTGCAATAGGGATCTTTCAGAGACTACCAAAAAGCTTTATAGATTAAACATGTTGCAATAAGCTATCTTAAGCTATTAGTATCACACTAAACTTACTTGAGTTCTGGGTTCGGTATACCCAATGAAGCCTGTCGGCATATGCAATTTTGATCAATCATATCAATAACGACGAGAAGAGCATCCAGAGAAATTAGTGAATGTGCGTGCAAACCAGACACTGGGAAAGCGTTCTCCACCAAAAGTTTAGTTAGCTCCTCGAAAACATTGCTGTAACGAAATAAACATCAATAACCATGCTATAGTAACAACAGAGAAAAACTTATTAAGCAGTCATAAGTTATAACTGTACTGTTTCCAAGTGGAGCAAGTTGTATAAACACAAGAGATTCAGGACACTTTCACACATTGCGCAAATTAACGATGACAATGTGGGGACTTTTATTTACCAGATCGAACCACTAGAGCACCTCACATCGAGGTCTAAATTGGAATAATGAACCTCTATAAGTTTCTACAACTGTAACATACTAAAGCATTATCATAAATCGATAATAGTGTTTACCTCGCAAAAAATGAGAAAAAATCAGGTAATGGTGGTTTGTGCTTACCTGTTCCATTGGGACAGTGAAGCCTACTCAGTTTTATTGCTACTGCTAAGGTGAGCCTAAGTGGTGCATTGATTTATCCAATGAGCAACATCCTCATACTAATGTGAGCAGGTACTTTCACAAGAATTGTACCGTACACTACGGGAAATCATCGCGATCCTTTGAAAAACACTTACCTGCAGTAAAGATCGCAATCATAGTTCAAGTACAACTCCGTTACTAATCCAGGGATTCGCCATAGTTGTACTATGGATTCCAGTGCCATCTCCTTCTGCTCGTAATTTGTTGTACGCTGAACATTTCCGATGGAAAGTCTAATTACCTGATACACAAACGATTTGAGTTAATTAGTTCATAATAGAAATTAATGTCTTAAATGGAGATGAAATGTGATCTCCACATACAACATGAAAGCAGTTTTCGAATTCCAACAAAACGAAGTTCCGCTTTTCAGAACCAAAAAAGTTCCTTCTTCCTGTTGTCGAGGGCCACAACTTAAACAATAGTTTCGTTCAGAAAGAGGCGACGATTTCCCTGTCACTGTACTTCACGGTTGCTACGATTGAATCAAAAACGTTAAAAAATTTGAATCTCCTTCTCGAATCTTTGGAACATTACAATTTGAACAAAGTAGTGTTATAATGAATTTTGGGAGAGTTACATATACTCAAGAGATAGAGCAAAATCTCTTCCATTTAGTCGTCCCACAACATGAGCGCCACCAAATGTTAGGCGTCGTGGTGAATATTAAAAGAATACCCACCAAATTTCAAACACTACCAACCTGCTCCTCAAGCACTATGCCTTTTAGTTTGTGAAAGTACGCCTCCAGTTGGAATTTTAACTGACTCCGCATTGATTCAAAGAGAATAAAACAAGCACGATTTGTTGCCGCTAACACTGGCAATTTTTCAGTGTCGAGAAGCTGAAAATAACGGAAATCTATAGATCACGCATAGAGCTTCACATAGCTCGGTGAACCAACTATATTGATCATATACATATACAGATGTATATATATATATATATATATATATATATGCACGTATGTAGATATGCACAGCGCATGCATATAGGTCCATATACATATTATATGTATATATATATACATACATATAAATGCTCTAACCGAAAGCTTCGTCACTAAAAGTGCGAGAATATAACCTTTCCCTTAAATATAAAACGCCACATTATGGTAGAAAAAGTAACCACACCTGAAGTAGTGACCTGCTAAGGTTATCCTTAAGCAGTGGAGTAAGAAAAGAGTAGTTCGCTAGATGATCAGCAGCTGCCTGCAAAAAATACAATTTCAAGCCAACTACTACTTAATTTTATACTTTTTACGACAACATAACTTATTCTCCCTACCTCTAAAGCAACAGTCAGCAAATTCAGTCCAAGCACTACCATGGACTCTGTATTCTTGCGATCGACTGGATTTGAAAGAGATATAAGGAATCTAAAATGATCGACGAAAAGTTCTAATTAGAACGAAAGTTACTAATGGACTAAATGATAAAAAGATAGATTGTTCCAGAGACTCCTCACCGAAGTAACTCTCTACAGCATGGAAGCCCATATGGCATCTGAATTGAAATTCCACCTGATTCCACATCGTCCTCTTCACCTATCGTCACCTCTTTTTCGTGAATTGTCAACTGTTTCGAGGTAGTTGCCTATACGACAGAAGTCCTTCGTAATTTTTCAATGGTTACTATTACATCAATGTAGGCTTGAATTCAACGAAAATAAATGCAGTTCCTCTTTTCGCTTAGGCAGGCAACATTCAATAAAATCAACTTGCTTTCTAAATAAACCGTTTTCTCACATCCTTTATCACTGGTGTGTCATCTTCTCCTTCACTGTCCGCATCGTCTGCTTTTTCTTCAAACCGATCTACAGCGTTAATTTCTTTCTGTTTAAATATAGCACTTGGCAATGATGCTCCGTCGCAGGAATGATCTGGAGTCGAAACTACGTCGTATCCTAAAAGTTTGTAGGAAACAAATTTGACAGTTTGGAAAACGCATAAAAATGCGAACTGAGTCGATTAACAGCAAAAACACAAGTAAACACACTCATTTTAAAATACCTAAAATAGCCACATCCTCTGTCTTTACAAGGGGTGTATTCTCGGTAACGATAAGATTATCCGTTGACGCCACTAACGGGATGTCGCTCAGTGAATGTGGGATTGTGGCAACAGTAGTAGGCCGAACCACCTCAACCTCATCCTTAATCAAGTTGATTTCTAGGAACTTTTCCACTCAGCATTTTACTACAAATGAAAGTCCATTATCGAAAAATTCTGAATTGGCACCGTAAGCGAAGACAAGCACAACACTCCAGACAACGCATGTTTCATACGTCACTAATAGGGAATCAAAATCCGTTAACACAGCTTCATTGAAAATTTTGACTTCAAATCGCACCTTTTCACTATCTCCCTCCACCTCCGTTCTTTTTCGTCGTCTTCGGCGTTTATCACCTTTTGCGTTCATAACCTAGAAATAAAATCCACTCAATGACCAATTTTCCACTCCAACTGTAAAGAACGTCAATAGGAATTAGACTTGACGGACGGTACTCGTGCTTTTGAACTAAAATTCAGATATTTAGAGTACAAGGTTCCAGTGCAATTTATTAAGCACACCCTTAGTCAAGGTCAAACAAAAACCGTCGGACACCCTCACCGGAGCACTCATCGAGGAAGTGCGCGCTCCCACTAGCCCAGTCCCGACATGGAATTGTACCCCAAGTATCCGACATCTACTCGAAAAGATATTATTTTTAACGAATTATAACCAATTACCACTTTGCAAGCGACTGCTATTGCACAAAGTATTGAAGCAGTATAGAAAAAAAAACCGAGAAAAGTATGCGACAAATTAGCAATACTTACCAGCTTCCTCATGTAAGGATGCCGAGCATCTTCACTGAATGTTGGCAACCGGGTGAAAATCAACTGCGTCATATCGCTGAGCGTCGCCTCAGCAGCTTTTCGTAACAAGGGTGATAGGTGCTGCTCAAATACGATACGAAAGCAAGACTGCATCATATCACATATAGCTTCATCGGATAGAAAAGCGCCAGGTGGTGAGAGTAACAGGGAACGAAGAACCTTAAGGAAAAGGAAACTGCAGTGAAAATAGCGATGTTCGTAGCCAAAAATGAAAAAAGAAGCTTCAATTTCGAAACGTACCAAAAGAATTTTGAAAAGCACACATTCATCACTACCACTGCTTTTCCCACCAATAAATTTTGTATGTATAACAGCCTGTGCAACTGATTCCACTGCATTTGCAGCTTTGATACTGGAAAACTCAGAACAAGATTCGTACCCAAATTTCTCACTATACACGATGGATTCATCCCCTGGCAGGGTCTCCCAAGCTGAGAGGGCGTCCGGCGTTTTCATCAAAAGTTCATCAAGAGATAAGAGTAAACCAATACTAGGATCCACCACCGTTCTGGTGTCAAACTAGTCGCATAGAGAGAAATCTCCATCTGATTCACAAAGAAGGCTACTGCATGTGGTGGTGACGACCTGGGGCAGATTTTGGCTTGGCTGAGCTCGAGACTCCAGGGAATCGAAATGGCTAAACCAGCAAAACTCGGAAAAAAAGGAGATTATGCTGTGGCACGCACAACCCGCGAAGACGGGCCATCCAGGTGTCTAAGTAAATAAGGTTTACCTATTGGCATCTATAAGTCCGTAACCGAGGAATTTCGCTACAGACGATAAAGCTGCTTCAGTAATTGGTCCATTTGTGTTTTGTGCTTTAATAACATCTAAAAACGGTGATAGATACGTCAGCGGATTCATATCACCTAGATTCGCCACCTGAAACAAATACATGCAGGCTTATCATAGAAGAAAAACCGTACCAGAAATTAAACATCGGACAGACCTCATTTAAAACTTCCTTAAGATCTGAAAAATTTCGAAGAAGCGGCTCAGTATCATCGAGAGATGAAAGCTGATGGGATAACTGGTACTGTCTGCAACATGAATCTATTGTAGCAGTGGATATACTCTAGGACAGACATGAATTCATAGTACCAATAGCCCTCCTTCAAATAAATTGATATTTCGTTACTTTCCAGAGATGATAGGCCTTAGAAAAAACAAGAACATACCAAAATAAGGACTAAAAACTAAAGGCAAACACAAAAACATTGAAATGAACCCACCGTCGTGCTTTGTTCAGCAATGCAACTACGGTGTTCACTTCACCTAAGACGACGTAAACGCCGTTAACGGCCATCGTGCCGTGCTCTTCGATAATATAGTTTTCAGCTAACCGACCTTATTGACTAAACAAAACCACAGATATTACTTATCACCTAGATCACTTAGGTTATTCGAAAAAATGTCTACATTAAATGTCCAAAAACTAACGTTTAATGTAGAACTGTAATGGTAACGACAATACTTAGCTCAACAGTACAACATTGCTGGAAAAGCCACTATCATTTGTCCAAATAAAAAGTCAAAACATTTATTTATAAAGCAAACGATACAAAAAAAGTGGGACATTTGAATACATTTTAGTCTTAAATTTGTCGAAACCAACCATACAAGGAACCACATAAGTACAGATGTCACTAAAAGGAAAGAGATAACTTTTAAAGCACTATTACAATTGCTCGAAATGTTACGAATTACCCGTTGTTAACCTGAAAAAACTGCTACAAAGAAAACCAAGCTATTTAGACCTAAGCATAAGCACAAAGGACATCTATGTTCGAGGATAAAACCGTGTTGTATGTCTACCGTCTTTAGGATCACGCTTCACATTTTCTTCAGCTTCCCAAAACCAATGATTTGAAAGCCAGCCAAACCTTCAAAAAAAGTTTTTGAACAATTTGTGACTGGGTTTCAATAGATGTAGGAAAGTTCGACATCACACGTGTCTGTAAACAATTTCCATCATCTATAACACCGATTATAATCGAGTTAGTCGATCAATTACCAGTAAATTCTTCACTGGTTTCTGTCCAGTACTAGAGCACACAGTGAGCTCCCCTCGCTTGAGAGACAGAAAGAGCTCGGCGCTTTTGAGTAAGACATCCTACTTTTGCCATTTTTGGAGTAAAAAAGACCCATGGGCAGTTTGTCAAAAGCCGCTGTGTGCCCGAATATACCAACGTTTGTCTCTCCCGGAGCAGATATGGGGCTTAATTGTTCAGGGATACCCTGAGCCGTATCTCATTTTACTATCGACTTTTGGACCAATCGACTCGCAATACCCAACAATCAAACACATATGGCCATTTAAGGACATGTACATAGATATGATTACGTCAACATGGAAGCGAAAAAAAATCTGGCGTAGCAAATATAGGCTTTTTACTGAAATCTCCTGGTATCGACACGTAAATGCACGGCTACATAACTCGTGAAGAAAATCTGTGAAATATTTCGCAAGCAGGATATAAAACATCACCTTGAGACTGGCCAAATTCGAAGTGTGAGTCGAATTTGAAGCAAGCCGGCAGGAACGGGTCCAAAATGCCTCGAATCCGTCGAAGCCAGATAGTTATCGCCTTGCAAGAAAACATGCCCTCGCGGGACTCTCATATTGGGTAGCAGTTCAGAATTGACAAAATCTGATTCCTTAAAACTGCTATATTTAATGGCATAACACCGAGCAACTATTGCATTTTTAGCATACAATACTATCTTTCAGCGGGAATAAATAAGGAGTCCCCATGTAGATAAAATTTTTTTCCTTTTTTTTCATTCATTATTTTCATCTACCGTTCCTGCGAAGGTGGAAGCTCGTTGAGAACACCTTAACACATGGATCGGAAGCGAATCCTAAGGATTTCAATCAAAAGCCAATGTACAGTCGAAAGACATAAAACATAATGAAATCTGGGCGACTGACAGAAGCTGGGAATTATATACCACAAAGTACACTGTGAATTTTAACACACTTAACTCAGACAGAAACTTCAATCCAAAAGTGGATCGGTGAAAAACAAGTGCAATCTGTTTGAACCAATTATGAATAAGGTATGACATCCTACTAGTGAACTTTGGAAAGACTAAACTCAAACACTAAACTAAAAAGAAAAAACTAAACTGAAATCGACGCATTACCTTGGCAACCACACGTTTACAAAGCAGTTGATCCGATTCATGTGGACTTAAGCAACCAACAATGTCACCTCGATGTATGTTTCCACTGTTCACACCTAAATTCTTTTACTTCTGAGAAGTGCCAAATGCCACCCCACAGTAAATATGGAGACGAAAGTTCATTACCATCGACAGCGCGGCACTACTCTAACCAAAATGGTTACAAATTTATTTTGTCCAGAATAAGTGAGAGGTGGTATATACAAAATTTTAGTGTTTCAAGAAGAGAAAAGAGAAAGCAAAGACCAGAAATATAATCACAATTAAGCTATTTGCAAAACACCGGACGGCAGATATCTGCGGTGGGAACCGAACACGCTATCACCTTCCCGGCGCTAACGCGTCCACCACCACACCATTCGAGTCCTTCATTTCGTCTTTATCTCAGACCTGTTATTGAAAAGACCAGAAATGTCATGTCTTTTCAATACTAAAAGTCTAACGCCTACGACTATGGTCAACCCTGTCGAACTCCACTAATAGACAAGTGTAAATTTGGCCTCAAAGACTGGCGGGTGGAGATTTCAGAATTCCACTGAGATTTAAATAAGGAAAGTAAAACCACTCTCTTTCTCTTAAGCTGTACAATTTCATTGGTACTACCATCAACTCTTGTTAAAGTCGTTCCATAAGACACGACACTGTTTTAGAAACCGAAACCCATCGCAATTGTGTAAGATTGGAATCTGATGGTATTTGTTAGACAACTGATATGAATGGACTGATAATACCAATACCTTCTTGAAATGTTGAGCTAACATGTGGTTGATAAATAAATTTATTCGGCTAACGTTTCGACGTCTCCGTCTTCATCGGACCCCATGATCCGAATCGATGGTCCACAACAGTTGTTCGCCTTCACGATGTGGACTGTTGACTCGGATCAACGGCTCTGATGAAGAGGACGTCGAAACGCTAGTCGAATAAGTATATCTATGAACCTCATGTTAGCTTAACGATCCAAGAAGATATACATTATTACTACCGAGGTTAAATAACGGTCGATTTCAGATATATTGGTAGCATCAATGTCCGGAAAGAAAATTTCGACGAAAAAGAAACTATGGAGTTTAAATAAGCTAAAGTTAAACACCTTTAAAGAAACTAACTGAGCCTTTCAGCCAGTACCAGGTCACCGTCGTGGATAGTTGGATGCATGGATGGGCCAGAACAGATCACCAGTTCTCCCACATGAGCGGCAATGGTGTGAGCAACACAGTAAACCACTCCTGCACCGGTAAAGTATCGCACTACATTCTTCCTAGTGAAAAACCGCGACAGGGACATCTAAAAGAAGAAACAACATTTAGAACCAACTAGTTAAAATACTAGATTATACAATAATAAAAAAAATAACATCGCTAAATCGCCGAAATGTCAGCCATAGACCAACAACAGCAACAAAAACAACAGAAACAACAACAACAACGAAGGCAACAACAACGAGAACAACAAAATTAGCAATGACAACTTACACCAACCTTACACCAGCTCAACAAGGGCAGTCCATAAGAACATACAAAAAATAAGAGATGTTCTGCTAGTAGGGCAGTTCAGAAGAGGCGTAATAAAATCAGTACTGTGGTGTGAACACTTGCAAGTACCATCTAATTCGATGGAGTCCACAAGATTTTGGCCACCTAATAAGCAATATGACTTAACGATTTCTACTTTATTAGACAGCGAATACTACATAGATACTAGTCAAATAAGTAAAAGAACAAGATCGTGGTAATACCAGTACAATTCAGGACCTCAGAAAGCAATGCAATTCCTGTCTGAACACTAGAGAACTGGAACCCTATCGTCTATAAAGACTCCAAAAATCTACTTTTGAAAAGAAAACAAACACCTGGGTATGTACAAATCGCCAGTGATTCCTGGAAAAACCACTGAAACAAGTTAGCGATAAGAATATTACTTAAGTAAAAACTAAGAAGTACTGACATGCCACGTGTTCGGATGCACCTTGATCCAACGACGTTAGCAAAATACTGGACGAATCCGAACTCGCTGCTATCATCATGCTATTCCCAAGTCCTGAATTCTTCTAGAGAAAATTTTTTCCATTCCAGAATAAAGTAACAGAAGATATTTTGTGGAATGCCTTTTCATACTCTACTCTTCCAATAAACTAAAAACCCCTTAACATTACTCGACGAACACAGACCATGAATCTTAATAGATTCAAGAGATTCACCACAGGCTGACAAAACTGGAAATCTGGCAGAGCTATGTTTGTCTTGCCTTGGATTGTTCTTCACAAGCGGTACCTTTAAAGCTAAGTGCATAATTGCACTATAGATGAACCCTTACAGCTTTACTACAAGTATAGGACACTTCAAACAATTCTAAATCCTTAAGAGTGAAAAATATTCGTGCCAAATACAACGCTTTCCTCAAATGGAAATTATAACGAAGCAAAACCTCCAGTTTCAACGGGAGAAGCTCCGCAGAGATATAACAACAACGGCTTTATAATGGCTAGAACAAAATGGACTGTTGGTTGAAAAAATCACTACTATGCAGTTTTACAACCTGATTTCAACGAACCAAAAACCCCATGGATATCGAAAACGAACGTCGTCCTTCCGTGAAAACGAGGCAAAAAAAAAGCTCGCCCCAATTTTGACACGTCACAACAAACTGGCCGCGCGACGAACGGCGAGAACTCGCGACGTCGCGCGTGGCAGCGCCGCCGCTCGGCTGTTTTCAAACTTTCACCACAAGATCGTCGCTAAGTTGTAAATTATATAAAGTCTTTTACTATTTATGTTAGTTAATCACTACAAGGACGCCTGTGGCGCAGTGGTTTGTGGCGCCACTGCGACACCCACGTGGAATCGATCCCCATGCCCGTGGCCCGTTATGCCTTCCATCCCAATGGGGTCCGCAAATTGGCACCGGACTTATCTGGAAAGATAGCAGCACTGGCTCTATACATCGGTAGGCCACATCGAGTCATTGTAAAGACCAGATATGTATTCACTCACCTCCAAACGATGCGTAATGAAGTCGAATGCATGGCGCACCCCTCATGGATTGATCAACGCCGAGAGCTTTATCGTTTTTTTACCATATGCGTCATAAAGACTCAGCACTTCTATGAGGAGAATGTTCCTTTGTTTCCTAGTGTTCACTAGGTAACGTTGTTCAAGTCAGGTCATATCAGCTACTTTTCTCTATAACAAGTATACTTTTGCAGTACTTCTAGTTTAGTTCTTCTAAATAAATAAAATATGGCAGCTGATGGGGTTAGCCGGAGACTTAAGCATTTTATTTGAGTCGAATTCGAACTTCTTAAGTCACACTGAGTAACTCGTTTTGTCAGATTTCGTAACTCCACTTGGATAACTGGGTGGCCCGACCTCACTGGTTGTGCGGGCCTCAGCATAATCTCCAATTTTTAATAGTTTTGCTGTTTTAGCCATTGTGTTTTTCTGGAGTCCGGACGTCAATCAAGCTAAAGTCTGCACAGGTCGTCACCACCACAGGCAGTAGCTGCGTTTGTGAATCAGAGGGAGATTTGCCACTATGCCACTAGTTTGATACTAGGACTATGGTGTATCCTGGTAATGGTTTACTCTTAGATGGGATTCTTGATGAAAGTACTGGTCTTCTCTGCTTGAGAGGCCCTACCGGTAGAATGAATCCTCTCGCTTTACATCGCAGCCCGATACCCAGGAACATCTCCCAGCTACGATAAGGAGACAAACAGGAGGTTTAACTTCGATGACGAAAAACTGTTCATATTTAAGGTATATCACGTGTACTGGTCTTTAACTCCTCCATAAACATTTCTCCGTACACCATTCTGATGTTCTTGCGAGAATATTCCTTGGTGTCAATTTCGTTCAAGTACTAGGATTTTGGATTCAGTACTTTCTTCTAGTACTGCATTCGCTCAGATGTGGGTCTGTGTGTCCATATGACGTATTTTCCAGAACAGTTTCAATTCGAACATGTTTGATACTATGTGAAACTAAGCATTAGTTTAAGCACTTACTATCCTTTGAAGTTTCCATGCTCTCTTCTAGAAGTTTCATCCGGTATTCCTATCGGGTTTAAATTACAGCACTTCCTTTAAAGCTCTTAGATATTAATGAGATTCATTGGAAACATTCACACGTTACTGGAAATATTCTGTTCACAAATGTTCGGAAACTGTTGCTGTTCAAACAGCAGTAGCTTCGATACGTTCCATTGGGTTTCAGTCTAAGCCTATAATAGAACTAAAATAGATCTTAGCAAATTCTTCTTTACACAGATGTCCTATCGGGGTAGTTATCAATCACGTTTTGTCTCTGCATCTTCAAGTGGTTCAGCTACTACATCAAGTGTTTCCGACAATGTGAAACGAACTAGCACAAGTGAGTAAAGAACTTCTCTTTGCTTGAACTAAGGTCTACAGATCTAAAAGAGTTCGAAACTGTCTCTTTTTTCCTTTGCAGTTAAGAGCAAGATTATCCTTACAGTCTCAAATTTACCATCTAGGCAGCATGAATTCTGTTCCTCCACCACAGTCGTTGGTTACGTCCACTGCACCTACTTTGGTCGGTGGAGTTTACATGTCGGCTCGCGAAAGAGAGAAGAAAAAGGAAGAAGAGGTATTCATACTCTTATTTTATCCGTTTTTTGTTTCAAGTCATCTGCTCCAACTTTACTCTATTTTATAATTTTTGGACTTTTAGTATGCGAACTTAATGTGCTATGGGGCTAAAACCGAGAAAGACGCAAGGAAGAAGCGCATCTACGACGATGAGTCGGTTCAGCTTTTTTAGTGGTTTTTCCTGAACATTCCTGAACACCGTGTGTCTCGTAATTTGATTTATGCTCTCTCCTACGCAACGGAAAGCATTTCAGATGACTATGCCGTCCAGTTCACATATGTAAACCTACCTATATTAGATACCTCGAGGGCGAGGATTCAGATGAAGAAAAGTCGTCATCGCGTCGTCGTCGTTGGGATGACGGCGACAGCCACCATCGTCGTGATCGTGACCATAGGAAAAGGAAGAGCAATGAAGAAGAAATGAAAGCAATTCAACCAGTTGATGATGAGGAAGACGAGCTCGATGCTTTTATGGCGGAAATTGATGCACAGGTAAGTACGGCTAGTTGTAATTTTTTTAAATTGAGTGCCAGCATGACCTGGTGCTTGGGGTAATGTTGTTTTAATCATTTCTAGGCTTCAAAGGATAAAGCGATATCAGTACAGAAAGAAAAAGACCGTGTTAGTGGAAAAGATGCTGATGCTGACAAAAAAGGCATAGGTAGAGCTGACATCGACGATGAGGATATGCAAGAGTCGTACTTCAAGTGAGTTTGAGTTTCTTTATGAACTAATTCTCATCTGCTCCTTTTGATATCTTTTTGGTTGCAATTCGGAAGGGGACGCAGTGGTCGAAGGCGCCCCGCAATACACAGGAAATGGATAACCTCGCCTTGAACCCAGCAAGCCCTCCATGCCTCCGGGGTCTGAGGATTGATACCACATAGGTTTTTAAGCTATGCCACATTCAGATATCTCGAAGAGCATAAAGAAAAAGTGGGCAACGATGAGGAAGAATACGAATACGATGAAGACGGGAACGTCATATGGACATGGAAAAAGGTATGCTTGCTTTTCCACTGTGCTACTTCGTTAGACATCCAGTAAATTTTATAGGTTATCGATCCTTTACCTGCCATAGACCACTCGACAGTTGACTATCAAGAGTTCAACAAAGATTTCTATGTGGAGCATGATGAAATCAAGTGAGCAACATTTATATGGTGGTAATAATATTTATGAGGTATTCTTTGGAGTAAATTTTATAGGTTGTGTTTTCGAAGTGTTTCATGAATTAGAGTTTCGTAAAGCAATTCGAAAGGCTATTACTTAAACCGGCACTAAAGTCCAGGGAGCTGCCACTGTATTTCTAAACCCATTTTTTTTAAAGAAAGCTTAACCACGTGGAAGTGGTGAGACTTCGTGAGCAGCTTGGGATACGTGTTGGTGGTTTTCATCCGCCAAAGCCTATCTGTTCCTTCGCTCACTTTGGTTTTGACAAGCAGCTGATGGATACAATTCGAAAAAGCGAGTACGAACAACCCACTCCTATTCAGGCGCAGGTGGAAAGCGGTTTTATAGCAACGTTGTTTTCAGGTCTTTCAATGTTTTTGATTGTAAACAGGGTTTATCCTGCTTTTTAGGCCATACCAAGTGCTCTCAGTGGACGTGATGTATTGGGAATAGCAAAGACGGGAAGCGGGAAAACGGCAGCATATCTTTGGCCAGCCATAGTGCACATAATGGACCAACCGAATCTGAACCATGGTGATGGTCCAATCGCACTTATTGTTGTTCCTACAAGAGAATTAGCCATACAGGTAATACTTTTCGTTCACATTTCCAACAGACTCTCAATTCGGCGTTGAGACTAGAGCAGTTTTTGCTTAGTTTTTATTTCGTAAGTGTACTAAAACGGGCGCCTGTGGCGCAATGGTCGGAGGCGTCCTGCGATACCCATGGTCGATCCCCTCGCCCAAGGCTCGCCAAGCCTTTTCTTCGGGAGAATAGCAGCACTGACTCGATGCATAGGTAGGCCACCACGAGTCACCACCGCAGGTTATTGTAAGGACCAGATATGCATTCAGTCAGCTCCAACGATGCTTGATGAAGTTGAATGTGTGGCGCATCCCTCAGGGTTTGTTAAACACAGAGACCTTTATCCTTATTCTTTATAGGTGTACCAAGAAGCTAAACGCTTTTGCAAAGTTTACAATATCAACGTCATTTGTGCTTATGGTGGCGGAAGTAAATGGGAACAATCAAATGAGCTGAAGAGCGAGGGAGCGGAACTGGTTGTTTGTACACCGGTTAGTTTTCACCGTATTAAAGCAAAGTTTTTTTAGGTGCAGTTTGCTTTTTTCGTACACTGTATCTTAAGGGGCGAATAATCGATCTGGTGAAAATTGGTGCAACAAATTTTTCCCGTACTACTTTCCTGGTTTTTGATGAAGCGGACAGAATGTTCGATATGGGTTTTGGTAGGGAAGAGTTTTCTATGTCTTCGCATTCTTACTGAACTTGGTTCCCATCTTACCCTTTTTTCTAGAAGCACAGGTGAAATCAATATCTGATCATGTACGGCCCGATCGTCAGTGTCTGATGTTCAGTGCAACTTTTAAGCATAAGGTAGTTTTTCGTCGATTTTGTTTTCAGTTTCCTTTTAATGTAGAACTCAGTTGGGACTATTACTACATCTTATAATGCTTTAACAATTTTAAGTGCTTTTTTGACTGAAGATTTTACCTTAGTTAATTTCGAAGCATTGTATTTTATAGGTTGAACGCCTTGCAAGGGATGCGTTGTGTGATCCTGTGCGCATTGTACAAGGGGAAGTTGGAGAGGTTGATGCTATCATAAAATAACGAGTCTTCATGTTGTTCTTGGAGTAGTGTTTTATATTTTTGTTTCTGTTCATCCTACCAACGGTTTACCGCTTCATCGTGGCTAGGAGGTGTTCATGAGTGGCGGGCAGCGACGCATAGCGAGAGAAGGGGTTCGACGTTTCAGTCAGGAAGCCCAGCTAGGAGTAAACCATTGCCACGATCCACCACCGTCCTGGTATCAAAATAGTTGCATAGTGGCAAATCTCCCTCTGATCCAGAAGGGCGGAAACTGCGTGTGATGGTGACGACCTGGGTCAGGCTTTGGCTAGACTGACCTCGGGACCCCAGGGAACCACAGTGGTCAAATCAGCAAAACCGAAAAAATGAAAATTATTTTGGGGTCTGAACAACCAGTGAAGATGAGGCATCCAAGTATCCAAATAAGTAAGTCTTTGTTCATTCGGTTTAGTGTTATGGTTTTAGGCGAACGCAGATGTTATGCAGACGGTAGAGGTCTTACCACGGCAGGATACGAAGTGGGTATGGCTTACGCAAAGACTTGTGAATTTTAGCTCAAGTGAGTGTACAATGAATATTTTACATTAATCTAATTTTCTTGTAGTAACTCGTAATTTAGTGGGTAAGGTGTTGATTTTCGTCACAAAGAAGGTAAATGCTGAAGATCTGGCTAAGAAATTAAAGGTATCTTGGTCACTTTATTTCTCCTCAAGCAGCTTTGATCACACCATGGATAAAGAGCATTTTTAAGGCTCGAGATTTTGAATTAGTTTTGTTACACGGAGACATGCTACAGCACGAACGAAATGAGCATCTCCAGGCATTCCGCAAGAAGATTAATATTATGGTGGCCACTGACGTAGCCGGTATAACACTGCTAAGTCGATTTCCATCAAATTTTCTCCAGTTTTGGATTCGTTTCTTTATAATTCGAAGGAACTCGGTATTTGTTTAGCACGTGGTCTCGACATTCCGGAGATTCGTACAGTTGTGAACTATGATTTGGCCAGAGATATTGATACGCATGTGCATCGAATTGGTCGAACTGGTCGCGCAGGTACAATCCATCCAATCGTTTATCATTTTTTTAGAGGTTCTACAAACAAACACTTAAAAGTACTCAGGATCTAGTTAATCTATCATATAGCGAAACTACTAGTTTGAAATTCATTACTAAATGTCATAGTTTGGTTATTTACATAATTCATTTGGATGAGCCTTTTTGCGAGAGCTTTATGAAATATCTACAAGTAAAAATTGTTTTGAATATTCAAAATCCAAATTAAGCAATCGTTCAAGATAAGGAATTTATAGTTCCCAGGATCGACTTTCTCTTAACCTCGGCATTGGAATATGAATGTGTCGTTTTCTTGTTCAGCAATCGCGAGGTTTTTAAACAGCATACATTTACTTCCATAAAAACACAATACAATACAACGCTAGCTGACGTTTCGGCAGTGTCGCCTTCTTCAGAGCCTGGAAGGGTATACTGATATACAATCTACTAGGCCAAACGCTTCAATAACACTTACAAAAAGACGAAGAACTCTTTGGTAATTACCTAATCAACAACTTCTCGAAAAACCCACCGCTTTTTTTCGTGACTTCCAATGAGGAAGTTTAGAACAGCTGATTATAGTCG